TCCTTTTTTGAGATTCTACCACCACTACCACCAGGTGTTATAATCACCCTAAACTCTGTCCTCTGGTTCTTCAAGTCAGAAAAATTCCAGTGTTTCTATCTGTGTTTTAGCCACCTCCACAGCACCTTCCATGGCTTGCCTTCAGGCCAAAATGTATAATAAACAGGAAATTCTCTTCCTCTAGCTCCCTTCAGTGTCTGCCTGCTTTATTCACTTTTCAGCAATTTCAGGGAATTGGGGTTTATTTTAATGTTTTATTCTGAGTTTATAGTTGTTATTTTCAGGATACTTGTCCCTATAGAAGCTACTCAACCATAACCGGAATCAGAAACTCCTCAGAGCACGTCTAGAGTATGACCACTCCATCCACTTATAAAGATTCTTTCTTTTTTGAGTCTGCCTCCTTCATCTCTGTCATCTAGCAAACTTTCCCCCCTCTCTCTACTCCAAGACCTGACATTCTTCTGAGAAGGAGCCTCTTCAGTGGCCATGGCTGTCCAAACAATCAGACAAAAGGAAACTTGACTGTGTTCTCTTCTTTGGCCTCACTAATTCCAGCCAACACTCCCACCAGCCCTACCCTAATCCTTGTCATCACTGAAATCTGAAACACAAACATCTCACTCCCTGACCAAACCCCTTGTTCTCCAGGCTCACTCACCATTTCACTGCCAATAGCCTGGATGGTAACACTGGTTGAGCAGGTCTTTGGTTAATGTTCCAAAGAATACAAAAACAATAAAAGGTCAAGTCTCCTCCCTATTAAGAGACCTTTTAAATATACATTTGTAACATTTTGGAATGTTTTATTTCAGGCTTACAAGGAAGTTTTCCAAAAACCACAGGCTATCAAGGACAGTTTTCTGATGGCTCATCAAGAAGAAAAGGTGGAGCTTGGCAGTCCAGAGCGGTGGTGAAGAGCATGAAATTTAGAGTCAGTCACACGAGGCCATGTTCAGCCTCTACCTTTATTGCCTGTGAAACCCAAAGCAACTCACTTCCAACTCTTTGGACTGTACTTAACTCATTTGCAAAATGGGGATGACAAAACCAACACCATAGGCTTGCTATGAGGACTTTAATAAGATCACACTCATTAAAAATTTCACACAGTAAGATGCTAAGTTCAATGAATGATATCACTATTGCAGTACTAGTATTTAAATTTAAAACAAGAAGGCTAACTTAAGATTCTCATTTGGGGATTCCCCAGTTGTCCAATGGTTAGGACTCCATGCTTTCACTGCCAAGGGTGCGGGTTCAGTCCCTGGTCAGAGAACTAAGATCCCACAAGCCGCACGGTGTGGCCAAAAAAAAAAAAAAAAAAAATTCTCATTTGGAAATTTGTTGGAACTAGTTAGAGATGGTGGTTTCTCAACACGGTGAATGTACCAAATGCTGCTGAACATTTTATGGTGTATAAATTTCAGTTCAATTTTTAAAAAAAGATTCTCATTTGGACAGCATCATACATTTCAGGCACACTTGTGGGCATGAGCCAGGTTTCTCCTAAGAGTTTTGGGTCAGGCTAGGGGGTAGAGGATAGAGAGTTGATAAGGTTGGGACAGGGAACGGGGAGGTGTTACTGTGAAAGATACCTGTTCTGTTCCATCCATCTCACATATCTAAGACCTGGCTTGGACCGCCCTGCTCTCTTCCCTTACCTGTGAACTCATCCCACAAGACCCAGTTCAAATGACACCTCCCCTACCAGGCCTTCCCAATCCTCAACCGTAAGTAGTAATTTATTACTAATAATTACTAATTAAAACTAATGGCATCATTGAGGACTTTAATTTATCCAGGTCTGCTCTCCCACTAGCCTAAGAAATCCCTAAGAGTAGGGACTATGCCATGGTTCAACATGTCCAAAGTTGAGCTCGTTTTCTCTTGCCTCAGACCTGCCCTTGACCTGTGTCCCCAAACCAATAAACAACACTACCATCTCTCCCCAACACTAGCCTCCTCCCTCACCACAGCAAAGTCAACATAGAACCAAGTAAGAATTAGTTCTTCCTTCCATACCTTTCTCCAACCCACCCTCTCTACCCATCTCCATGGTCCTGTCCTCTCTCACCTGTAGAAGTCACTTCCTCATCTCTCGGCTTATGGTCTCATCTCCAAAACTCTGAAGAATCTTTCTGAAACACAAATCTGACCATTTTGTTCCCCTGCTTAAAAGCCTTCTGTGACTCCCTGTAGCTTCAGGACAGAGTCCAAACTCCCCCAACCCAGTTGCATATGGTCCACCAGATCGGACACCTGCTCATGGCTCCAGACTCACCAGTGAACATGGCCCCAGATCTCTGTGCTCTAACAAGCTCTCAACCATGCTCCACGGGCCTCTGGCCTTTATACAAGCTGATTCCTCTGCCTGGAACTCTCCCTCCCAACTCTCCCTATCCTTCTATGGAAAAATTCCTACTGATCCCTCTAGTGGTTTACCCAGAAGCTACAAGGTTGAATCAGGTGTCCCAGCCCTGAGCCCCGCCATCTTGACCTTGACCTTTCTGCCTGTGCCCCCCCCCATCTTGACCTTGACCCCTCTGCCTGTGCGCCTCATCCCAGCGCTATCCATCCTGAGCTGTCATTGCCTGGTGACTGATCTGTCTCCCCCTCTGGAGTGAGAGCTCCATGAGGGCAGGTCCCAGGGCTGTCTTGGTCAGCCCTATGCTCTCAACATCACCCAGCACAAGCTGGCATGAAGTAGCGGGTTCAGTAGACACTGGTTGAATGCCTCTATTAAAAGGCTTAAGAGCCTGGGGATAATATCGTGGGAAAGAGAATTTTCTGAGAAGAAGTTGATCCAATGGGAGTGACCTACCTCAGAATGTTCTCAGGACACATCTGTCCTACGGAAGTTTTTCTACTTAGTATGACCCTTGAAGACTGAAGAAGGTAATATCCTGAAAAATAAGGGAACTATTTGCTTTTTTTTTTTAAGAAGGGAAATGGAGGGACTTCCCTGGCTGTCCAGTGGTTAAGTGTTCACCTTCCAATGCAGGGGGTGCGGGTTCGATCCCTGGTGGGGGAGGTAAGATTCCACATGCCTCACCAGCTAAAAAGCCAAAACATAAAACAGAAGCAATATTGTAACAAATTCAATAAAGACTTAGGGAGATGGAGCTGGGCCAGGTCTCTTGGAATCCAAACACAGACAGGAACAAGCAGATCTCAGAAGTTCCCACGTTCACAACATGGCCTGCATGCCTACATACCACACCAGAATACACACACACAAACACCCACACACTTATGTATAGTCACAAGTTTTACATGCGCACACATGGATGTGAATGCACAGTCTACATGTTGGACCCAGAGACACACATGTAAATATCCCCCAACAGACATATATGCCAAAGCATGTACTCATGTTACCCACAGGCAGATCGGCATGCATTCAGGCACACTGGCAACGGACACATTCACATCCTGTAAGGCACTCACACAGATGTGCACATATAGCCATAAAGAGGTATGGATACTCACTTATGCACCAACACGCACAGCACAAAGATGCATAAGTGACAGGGGTCCTGTAACTCTTTGTTCCGGCAATGTTGGCCCTTTGAGTTTATCTTGTTCTTTGTTCTTGGATCACGCCACACATACCTGGGCTTAGTCTTCACAGTTGGTGTTTACCAGGGGTAACCAACAATATTAAGGAAAAATGTCAGTGAGAGAGAAACAGCAGGACCACTCCTCTTTTCTCTACTCCCACTTTTAGCATCCTAGGGCCCCTCTCTGTTCCCGACACTGGAGTTTACCCAAATCTCTCCTGACATAGTTCTCTCTGCCTGCTAATAACAGCCCTGACACACCAGGAATCACGCCTAACGGGGACTTCACACACCCTCAAATACAACTTTCTCTTCCCAAATACTCCCTTTCCACTGGTGGGGAAACCCAATCGCAGGAAGGGGAAGTGAGTGCAGAGCAGGAGAGAAAGGATTCACACGTGTGCCCCTTGCCCACTCTCTGTTTTCTGTCCTCAGTATACCCACATGTAAAATGGGAAACATCAATAATAATAATAATAATGGAAATGATACAATCAATGTAGAGGGCTTCCCTAAGGATCTGGGTAGGGAACCATTGGGGCTCTCTGTGAATTCTAATCCTCGAGACAGCTGGGATTTTTCAGTATCATATTGGTGTTTGTTACTATTTCCAAGCCCTGGCCAGTCCCTCTGCCAGCTGAGACCGTGAGTTACTCTTCTCTAGTTCTGTGGGAAGTTCCATGGAAGTGCAGCTATGGTCTTCTACCTCTTGCCCAACCACAGATAGTCAGTTCTATGACCCCTATCCTCACCTCACTTTGAGGTTCCAATGAGAATTTTGGGAATCAAGAGGCAGCATTGTGTCCAAAGTAAAAGCAGATCAACATCTGGGGTCAGATTCCATGATCCAGCTGGACTCTCCTCCCAGGAACACCACATCCACAGCCCGGGGTCCTTTCTCACCTCAAGACCCTCAAACCCATTCCCTGGAATCTCCCCCCACAATGAGACCCTTCAACCTACATCTCTCCTCACCAAAAGACCCCCCAATCCACAGCCACACATCCTGTTTCATTCTAATACCCTTATATCCAGATCTTTGAATGTTTCTTTCCCAAGACCCCAAAATCCACCACTTTGGGATCCCTTCTCACTCTGAGATCCCAAATCCAAAGCTCAGGGGCTCCCCCAAGCAAATATTCCAAAATCTTCAACTCTGGAACTTATCAACTGCCCTCCACAGCCTAGGGTAGTCCCTCCCGAGGGAACCACGAACTCCATATTGGGGCCCACTCTCTGTTAATCTGATCTGAGGTCCCCCTCCTCCTTCCTTGCTGGCTCTGTCCCAAGCTAGGTGGGGAGAATAGTGGGGGGTATAGTTGGGAGGTGAAATGAGACAATTATGTAATCAGGACCAAAGTCGGCCCTTCTCTCCCAGGTAGTATAAAAGCAAACCATCCCAGACATCACCAACTGACTGTCACCCCCAGTGCCACCATGCTGGCCTCAGGGCTGCTTCCTGCGGCTTTGCTGGCCTGTCTGACTATACTGGTCTTGATGTCTGTCTGGCGGTAGAGGAAGCTCGAGGGGACGCTGCCTCCTGGACCCACCCCTTTGCCCTTCGTCGGGAACCACCTGCAGCCGAACACCAAGCAGATGTACAACTCCTTCATGAAGCTGTCCCAAGGCAGAGAGATGCGTGGGACAGGGGTGGTGGCCTGCCCAGTTTGGTTGGGGCTTTGTGGCTGGGAATTGACAATGTTGGACCAGAGTCATAGGAAAGGACAGGGGAGTTTTAAAGATTCAGTGTCAGGGTCCTGGCCAGGAAAGACCACATCTTGGGATGTCCAGCTCCTTGACCATCAGAACCTGTAGGGAAATGCATCTCGGGATGTGAGAACTGGGTACAGGGCCAGTTCAGAGTAGAGGCTGCTCTAACCACTTGCACTCACCTCCATCAGGTCAGCGAGCGCTATGGCCCTGTGTCCACAGACCACCTGGGGCCCTGGCGGGTCGTGGTGCTGTGTGGATATGACACTGACAGAGGCTCTGGTGGACCAGGCTGAGGAATTCAGTGGATGAGGCAAGCAGGCTAACTTCAACTGGCTCTTCAAAGGCTATGGGGAGGGGGACCTCAGAGCAGGGGTGGGGCAGGGGGGTGTGGTCAGGCAGACTTGATGGCTTCAGTGTCCCCAGCCTTCTCGTCCTGACTTCCTCTGGCATTCTCTGTCCCCATTCCTATTCATGGTTGCCGCCCCCTCTGTCTCTCATTTGTCTTAGCATTTCTGCATCTCCGTTTCTCCCTGCCTCTCTCTCCCCTATCTCCCTGTTCTCTTTCACTAGCTGTCTCTTCTTTCTCTGTATCTCTTAGGAGCTCTTGGAACTTCTGCTTTGGAACCCTGGTCCTCTATCTCCTTATGCCTTTTTGTCTTTTTCTCCTTTTCAACTTCTGTGCTTCCCCAGGCTTCTCTCTCCTTCCCTCTCTCTCTTCTTTCTTAGTCTTAGAATCTCACATTATTTCTGTTTCAAAATCCCCATGCCTCCATCTCCTGGTAACAGTCTCTCCTCCTCCCAGACCCTCTCTGTTTCTCTCTCCTTATTTTTCTCTCTTCTCCAGTTCAGTTTTAGAATCCTTCACAATTGTTATATCCACCTCCCAGATCTCCAAGTATCTCACTTCCCCTCCTTCCCTCCTCTCTCTTTCTCTTCCTGTGAGTGTCTCTGTATCTCTTTTCTCAGTGTATCTTTCCTGCCTCTCTCCTTCTGATTCTGTTTTTGCAACTTGGTCTCTACCTCTTTCTGCATTTCTCTGAGTTGTATGTCTCTCTCTGTCTCTGTCTCTCTCTTTCTCCCCCGCCCACCCCCCTCCCTCCCTCCCTTGCTTCCTCCCACCCTCTTTCCCTCCCTCCCCACCCCTCCCCTCCCCGCTCAATCTCCCACTCGCTCTCTCTCTCTGCCCACCTTTCTCTCGCTCTCCGGGCCAGGCGGCTGGTCTGGGCCTGCCCCGCCCCGACTCCTACGCCCCCTCTGCAGGCTTGGCGTTCGGCAGCTGGGAGCGCGCCCAGCACCTCCGGCGCTTCTCCATCACCGCACTGCGAGACTTGGGCGTGGGCAAGCGCGGCATCGAGGAGCGCATCCAGGGGGAGGTGGACTTCCTCATCGAGGCCTGCCGGGGCACGCACGGTGAGTGGGGGGACCCCGGAGAGTGCGAGGGGGAGGAGGAGGAAGACAGCCCGCACCGACACACGCATCCTGGCCCCGGAAGGGGTCCAGGTTGGGCGAAGGCGTCCGGCCTCCCAGCTCTGGGGTCTGAGGCTGGAAGTCTGGCTCAGCACTTCCGCGCCCTCCTCAAATTCGCAGACTGGCATCAGACCGCCAAGCTGACTCTCCCCCAAATCCCTGTCTCTCCCTAACCCCACCCCATCCCCCAGGCGCCTTCCTCGATCCCACCTTCTTCCTGAGCCGAACCGTCTCCAGTGTCATCAACTCCATCGTCTTCGGGGGCCGCTTTGACTGTGAGAACAAAGAGCTCCTATCACTGCTGTGTATGATGCCGGGAAGCTTCCAGTTCACAGCTACGTCTACCGGCCAGGTAAGCTGTCCCAGCCTGGCTCTACCATGCCTCTACCTCAACCTGCCAACTGCCCCTCCACACCAAGACAGGTGCCCCAAACTCCCATCCTTCAACAGACAGGATGCCCTCAAAACCAGCCCCCCACTCTCAGACAACTGAACAGTTGCACCAGAACCCGGGACAGGTGGCCAATACTCAGTCTCCAAGCACACCTGGATATCTCAAAAGATGCTCCCCCCACCAAAAAAAAAAAGAATGAAAAAAAATAGACACTGCAGGCAAGATACATGTGCTCAACCCAGCTTTCTCTTCTCACCAGTGCAGGTATCCTCACCCCAACTTACCTTAATATCTAACAGATGCTCCCTTTTAAGATATTCTATCTTTCCATCTGAATTTCTTAACACCTGGACAAGAGATCACCTCAGCCCACTTCCTGACTACCTGAACACGTGGTGCCGGAAAATTCAGCCCACCAAAATCATCTGTTACCTACACAGGTGTCCCAAACCAGCCCACTAGAATATCTAGACAGTGCCCCCTACCCAGCTCGCTTAAATATCTCAACATTTAGACAGGTACCCCAAACCAAGACCCCTAAACATGTAAACACCTGGACAGATTGTTCCCCAAACACCCAAATAAGTGTCTTCCAGCCCAGCTCACTCAAATACCTACAGAAGTGCCCCCTATTGGCCCATTTGAATATATGAACACCTGAACAGGTATCTCCCCGCTTTCACACCTGCACAGCAGCCCCACTTTAATACCTTAACACCTGTACAGAAGCCCCCAATCCAGATTCCCTAAGTATCCACGCAGTTGTTTCCAACTGAGACCACCTGAATGCCTAAACACTTAGGTGACCCCCCCTTCCAAGTCCCACCTAAATAGCTAAGCACCTGGACAGGTGTCTCCCAACCCAACCTCACCTGAATATATGAACACCAGATGTATGCTCCAATCCAGCATCACCTGAACGTCTGAAACCTGGATATGTGTCCCAGTCCATCTCACTTTAATTCCTGGACAGGGTCCCTCACACTTAACTCATGTGAAAACTTAGATATCTATTCCCATCCAGCCCCATCGAAATACCTAAACATCTGTGTAGGTGCCTTTAACCCAGTGCCTTCCTTGCCCTGCGACAGGTCCGACTCCCATTGGGTCCTGAGCACTGACAGCTGTCCTTCCCTTCCCTTCCTCTCTCCCCACCCTCAGCTCTGTGAGATGTCCTACTCAGTGACGAAATACCTGCCAGGGCCCACACTGAACCAACCAAGTGCCCACTGCCTGCTCCTCCAGACCATCCCCCAAGACTCTCCCCTTGCACCTCCCAGGTGACTTTGGCAGGACCAGGTGAGCAAGACCCTGCACCAACAGCGCCTACGGCCTGAATGTTTTATGTCCATGCCACACGTGGATGTCATGCGTGTTGTACCTACTTGGACGGTCATCCCTGCCCTGAGTCCTCACAATAGCTAAACACGTTCCCCCTCCTCCCCAAGCCAAAACCCATGAGGAGATTGACCACGTGATTGGCAAGAACCATCAGCCCAAGTTCAAGGATGGAGCCAAGATGCCCTACACAGAGGCGGTGATCCACGAGATCCAGAGATTCTGAGACATGATCCCCATGGGCCCGGCCCGCAGAATCACCAAGGATACCGAGTTTCGAGACTTCCTCCTCTCCAAGGTGCTGCCCCACCCAGCCTAAAGGGATCTTCAACCCACTCCCTGTGACCCCGCACTCCGTTCCCCCTAGAAGCTTCCCAGCCCCTGATCCACTCCCTCAAAGACTGTCCCAACTACCATGTCCCTTCCACCTTCCCACTCAGAGACTCCTGAATCCCATATCTCCCCAGACCTCTTGCCTCAGGGAATATGAACCCTATGTCCCACCCAAAATTCTTGTCTCAAGAGACATAACCTCCTTGTTCCCCCAACCTCCTGCCTTGGGAGACATGAACTGCATGTCTGTGAAAACTTCTGCCCCAGGAGACACAGAGCCCATGTTCCTCAAACTTCCCTTCTCAGGGGACGTGAACCCCATGGCTGCCAAACTTCCTGTCTCGGGACGATGAATCTCATGTCCCCCAAAGCTCCTGCCTCAGAGGACCCCAACTCCCATGCCTCCCACTTCCCTTCACCAAGGTCACACAAATTCCCCCTCCACCCCCAGGTGCTTTCAGCACACCCATCCCCCACTCCACCTTATAAAAGTCCCCTCCCTCCTCCCAGCCAGGGCACCGAAGTCTTCCCTATGCTGGGCTGCATGCTGAGAGACCCCAAGTTCTTCTCCAACCCGCGAAATTTCAATCCCCAGCACCTCCTGGATGAGAAGGGGCAGTTTAATGCTTTTGTGCCCTTCTCCATCGGTAAGACACACTGCCAAGCCAACACCAACAGGGGCCTCCTTCATCTCTAAGGTGTAACCTAGTATCTTTCTCCAACTTGGAAGTCCCTCTTACCATATACCTTGGAGCCAACCAGCTGCAAACCCCATAACTACCAAGAACCTGGGCCCAGGCAAAAGAAAAGGGATGATCGTACCCATTTCAGAGATAGGGAATATCATGGCCCAGAGTGAGTCAGAGATTTGTCCAAGGTCACTTAAATTCTTCAGATTCCTAGAAGGTCGATGGCACAGCAGCCATATTTGAGTGTGTATTTGAGGAGAAGGGGCACCTAAAGTTCCCATTGCTACAGCCTGTTTTGCTTCACCCCACCCCATGTTCTAGGGAAACAGGCTCAGAGAGGAGTAGCAACTTCTCTGAAAGTCTCTCAGGCCTCGAGATTCCAGCCCATCCTCCCTGGGAGAATACAGCCGGGGGTCGGTCGGTAGTGGGGTCAAGGTAGCAACGAAAACAAGCCTCACCTCCATGCCTCCCCCCATTCCTTCAGGAAAGCGGTACTGTTTTGGAGAAGGCCTGGCTAGAATGGAGCTCTTTCTCTTCCTCACCACCATCATGCAGAACTTCCGCTTCAAGTCCCCACAGTCGCCCCAGGACATCGACGTGTCCCCCAAACACGTGGGCTTTGTCACCATCCCACAAAACTACACCATGAGCTTCCTGGCCCGGTGAGCCAGGGCTGTGCCAGGGTGGGGCTGGTGGGAGGAGCAAATGGGGGAGGGAGGGGCGGGGCTAAGGATGGGGGGATGATGGACGGGGGTCAGGGGAAGGAAGGGGCAAGGTGGATAGGAGAGGAAGAAACAAACGGACTCTGTTCACCTTGCTAGAGGTGGGTTGAGAGGAAAAGAAACCTTATACTATACTTTGAATAGTGACAATAACAGATATTATTTATTGAGCAAGTACACTGTGTCAGCTCTATGCTAAAAGCGTCATATACTCACCTCACTTAACGCTCACAAACCTATGTCACGGGGAACAGTATTCATGCCCATTTTACAGGTAACAAAGATGAGGTCCAGAGAGTTTACGTCTCTGTCTGAGGTCCCACAGAACACAAGTAAGTACTCAGCAAGTACATGGACACAGATCTGTATAGGGATGGCCATACTTAGCCCACAGTCGTTTAGGGAGATTCTTAAAAAGCACCCCTTCCTCAAGTGAAAAAGCAACAACTTATCATACTATTACACAACCTGAGCAGCTCTGTCCAGGAGATTTTTTTCCAGAGCCCTGACAGGCAGCTGACCTGGCTTCACTACACACTTGCCCACACCCTTGCCCACTCATGCACACTTTGGATGCCAGAGCATATTTCGTGCCCACCACCAGATAAGGCTACTGTGTCCGATCAGAGTCAGACCTGGGGACAGGAGTCAGACTTCTTAATGAAATGGGTGGGAGAGAGAAACACTTTCAGAGAAAATGCCAGGAGAAGTTTGGTAGCAGCACAGCCATGTCTGTGTGTGTGTGTGCGCATGTGTGCGTACAGGCATTCGAGTATATGATTGCACATTCTCCTGAGTGTATACAGGAAGTCACGTTTCCTATGAGTTTCTGAAGGTGGGGCTCTCTCTGGTGGATCTGGGATCTGTGAGGGTCTGAATCACCCGCTTGCTCTCAGATAAGTTAGCATATGTTCCCTTAGAGGTGGCATCCTTCAGCGTTGCGCAATCTGAACATTCATACACATCAGCTGTAGACCTTTGTGTTAGATCTAGAGTTAGATCTAACCTTAGATCTAAATGCTACGCAGAGCCCTGCATCCACAAAACTTGCCACACTTGAAGGACCAGTGATTGAGGTCAAGTGAGAGGAAATCTGGTCCTTTGAACCCTGCAAGTTTCATTATAGGCTATGATTCTCAAGTTTCTCAATTTCCATGATCTGTGTTTGGCAACTCGGTTTCCACAAATTAGCTGCTTCCTACTCATTGGAGGGAAATAAGGATCCACAGGGTCACACTCTTTATTATGACAAACACACTATTCAACAATTCAGAGTCAGAATCAAACTTTATCCGTTCCTGTGCATGTCACTTTAAGAGGTTTCTAGAAAGCTCACCTGGGGGAATCTTAGAATTGTGGCATAACTCAACGGTCGAATCTTGGAACTGCAGAGTCCACAATTCATAATCTTGGAATCTCGGATTCCCAGAACCTTAGACTCCGAACATTTGAATTACTGATGCTTGGAACTCTTGATGCTTAGAATCTTAGCATAAGAGTTTCCTTTAGCCACATCCTTGGGAACTGCGTTCCCAGCCCCTCTGGTGGCAAACGTCAGATCTCCAAGCTGAGAGTTCCTTCTGAGAAAGAGTCAAGAGAGGAAAGGAGGGGCTGGAACTAGCTGGGTTCTGCCAATGAGGCATATCTCCAGGGGAAGATAGAGTGGCTAGTAAGTCTTTGCCCAGCAAGAAGGGAGACGAGAGGGAAGAGAGAACAAGTATTAATCTCCAGAGTCCTCAAACTTACACCTGAAAAGGGAAAAGCAGGAGTCCATCAAGACATTACCAAAGGTGCCAAGAGAAGTCACCTTCTAGCCACCAATGCCTCGATCTCACCTGTCCAGATAGGGCAGTCTCAGCTCTGTTGCTCTGGAAGAGCCAGTGACCCAGCCCGGCAAAGAGACAGTGCTGGGGCGGAGATGTTAACAGGAGCCCTGGATTCTGGTCCAGGCTTTGCTGCTAACTCTTTGGGCCTTCCTGAGTCTCTCATCTGTCTCCTTCCTCACAGGAATTATTTGAAGATTGAAACATAGCCTGGTGTTGAGCTTTAAAACTCAGTGGCTGCAGGAATGGGAGGATGACAGTGGTGATGTTTCTGGGTAGCTTGTTTTTCACTACTCTCTTCTACCAAAACAAGAATCCTGCTCTTGCCATAATGACAGGCACAAGTAGCATGTGTGGAGTGCCTGCTATGTGCCAGACACTGTGCTGAGCCCCTTGTATGAGTTTCCTAGAACTGCCAGACCAAAGTATCACGAGCTGGGTGGTTTACACCAACAGAAATGTATTGTCTCAGAGTTCTGCAAGCTAGATCCAACATCAAGGTGTCAGCGGGGCCATGCTCCCTCTGAAAGCTGTAGGGGAATCCTTCCTTGCCTCTTCTTAGCTTCTGGTGGTTTGCAGCTCTTGGTCTTTGGAGTTACTTGGCTTGCAGCTGTGTCATTCCAAACTCTGTCTTTGTCATCACATGGTGTCGTCCCTGTGTTTGTCCCTCTTCACATGGCCATCTTTTTTTTTTTTAATTTTATGGGAGTATAGTTGATTTACAATGTTGTGTTAGTTTCAGGTGTAGAAAAAAGTGGATCAGTTATGCATATACATATATCCACTCTTTTTTAGATTCTTTCCCCATATAGGTCAATACAGAGTATTGAGTAGAGTTCCCTGTGATATACAGTAGGTCCTAATTAGTTATCTACCTTATATATAGTAGTGTGTATATGTCAATCCCAATCTCCCAATTTATCCCTCTCCCCTTTTCCCCCTGGTAACCATAAGTTTCTTTTCTACATCTGTGACTCTATTTCTGTTTTGTAAATAAGTTCATTTGTACCATTTTTTTTAGGTTCCACATATAAGCGATATCATGTGGTGTTTGTCTTTCTCTGTCTGACTTACTTCACTTAGTATGATCATCTCTAGGTCCATCCATGTTGCTGCAAATGACATTATTTTGTTCTTTTTTACTGGCCATCTTTTTGTAAGCATACCAGTCATACTCCAAGATGACTTCATCTTAACTAATTATATCTTCAGTGATTCTTTTTCCAAATAAGATCACATTCTGAGGTACTGGGAGTTCCGACTTTAGAGTACCTTCTTGACAGTTCAATCCATAACACCACTTATGCATGCACTCATTCAACCAAATAAAGTGTCTGTGAGGTGAGCCTATGATGATCCTTGTTACAAATGAGCACACGGACTCAGAGGAAGGTTAAAGAATCTGCCTAGGGCTTCCCTGGTGGCGCAGTGGTTAAGAATCCGCCTGCCAATGCAGGGGACATGGGTTCGAGCCCTGGTCCGGGAAGATCCCACATGCCGCGGAGCAACTAAGCCCGTGCGCCACAACTACTGAGCCTGCGCTCTAGATCCTGTGCCCCGCAACAAGAGAAGCCACTGCAACGAGAAGCCCGCGCACACCAACGAAGAGTAGCCCCCGCTCGCCTCAGCTAGAGAAAGCCCGTGCGCAGCAACAAAGACCCAACACAGCCAAAACTAAAATAAATAAATTTATTTTTTTTAAAAAAAGAAGAAGACATTCTTGTCTACAAAAAAAAAAAAAGAATCTGCTCAAAGTAACACCGTTAGGACATGACAAAGGAAGATTTGGATGAAAGAGTTGGATTCCAGTGTGTGCCTCTCTCGAGGTTCCAGAGATGATTCAGATGGAGCCCCTGCCCCCAGAGGAACTCTGGAGGAAGGGGGTGATTCTCAGAAGAAATATTTTGGAGAAAGGAGGTAGAAGGATGGGAATTTAGATGTCACATCACCCCTGACTCAAGTTCAGGTTGTTCCACATGTGGCTGCTCCCAGGACGCATGCAAACCTGTACGCACACGTGCACACGGATATCTGTATAGCTGGAGCAGCACTTTTTTACTCATGAGAGGCACTCTGATAGAGAGAGTCTTCTCTTCTCTTTTGTTTTATTATTTTTTAAATGCTTGTTGCAGCCCTTCAAGCTGCTCATGAATCATTAATGGGTTATGACCTGCAGTTTGAAGAACAAAAGCTTAAAGGAGAAATCCCAAACTCCCTGGGCTAGTCTCCAAGACCCTTTCTAGCCTGGGCTCTGCCCTCCTCTCCCAATCTCGTTTCTCATCACATGTCACTAAACAGATCCTATTCCCCAAGCTCACCAAACTTCTATTACTGTGCATGGATTATTTATGTCTCCAGGCATTTGCACTGACTGTTCCCTCTGCCTAGAATGCTTTTTCTGCCCTTTCCGCTGAAGTGAAGGACTGTTGCTGTGGTAATATTCACAGAATAACAAGCAAACAGGAAGGAAAGAACCCCTTGTTCCTCTACCAAGATTCCATTCTCCCCCTAATGGTCCAGCAGGATCCAGCAGGAAATGGAGAATAAATGGTTCACAGGGTTCCCAAAAAGTTACCACAAAACAAAGTATTAAAATGTGGCTTTTACGTTAAAAGTGATTTTATTTTTTTTTAGTTCTCATTACAAGAAAAAAATTTTACGTATATGACAGATGTTAACTAGACTTACTGTGGTGATCATTTCACAAAATATACAAATCGTTATGTTGTACACCTGAATCTAATATCATGTATGTCAATTATACCTCAGTTTTAAAAAACTTTTTTTCCCATTTGCTATTGAAAAGATCAGTTCCAGTTATATGGAAAATCCATTTATTTGTAATACCTACATTCTCTGACAATGCCAGGAGGGCAAAAACAAAAAAAAAAACATGAGGCTTTGGGACTTCCCTCGTGGTCCAGTGGTTAAGAATCTGCCTTCCAATGCAGGGCACACATGTTCGATCCCTGGTCGGGGAACTAAGATCCCACATACGGAGGGGCAGCTAAGCTGGCGCATCCCAACTACTGAGCCCGGGCACTCTGGAGCCCGCACGCTGCAACGAAGAGCCCACTCACTGCAACGAAAGATCCCGAGTGCCGCAACTAAGACCCAACACAGCCAAATAAATAAATTAAAAACGAGGCTTTGACGTGTAATATCC